TATTTGTCGAATTGAGTTACTGAACCTTTCTTTCAAACTGTACTCTTGATAACTTTTCCTTTAAAATGATTTTAGTCAATTTTATGATAATAAAACAGAAAAAGAAATCTTCTCTCTGTTGCATTTCTTTTCAGTTTTTGAAAGAGGTAACACTGACAGTACGAATATTTTGGAGATTATACAGAAACTAGAATAAAAAAATAAAATTATAAAGCTGATTTCTCTCTCTCTCTCTCTCTCTCTCTCTCTATATATATATATATATAAAACTAGACTCATGCCATCAAGTCGGATCTGACTCATAGCAGCCCGCCTTGGGTTTCTGAGGCAGTATCACTACGGAAGTAAATTGCCCAACCTTCCTTCCAAGGAGTGGCTAGGTGGTTTGAACCACCAGCCTTCTGGTTAGCAGTCAAGTGCCTTAGGCACTATGCCACCAGAACTGTGTGTGTGTGTATACACACACACACACACGTGTATATATACACACACATATATATTATAATTTACATGCTTTATATGTATGCTGTTAGGTGGCCTCAAATCTGTTCTGACTCACAGTGATCCTATGTATAACAGAAGAAAACAGTGGCGAATCTGTCTCCATCCTCACAATTGTTGCTATGTTTGAGCCCGTTATTGTAGATCCTGTGTCAATCCATCTCATTGAGAGTTGAAAACATTAGCTACATCAAAAGTTCAAAAGTTATATATCAAAACATATCTGTATCTTTGCTGTTGACTAATAATAAACATTCATACTCTCAGTATTTACCTCCAGAGTCTTAAATATCTGCTAGAAGTGGTAACATATGTAAGTTTGGAGAAACACAGTAAGCATTTAACATGTTTTCTAGTTTGTATTTATCTGGTAGTCAAACTAGCATACTAAAAATTGAAGTGAGTGTTAAGGTGTAGAAATATAACATTTATACTTCAGTTTATAATTACTTTAGTTTTTATTTACCTTTTAACCTATTATAAAAAGATTTAAAATTCATTCAATAACATGTATTTATTGAATGCATATACTATGTGCTAAATTCAATTATTAGCATTTAGGTATACAGTTATGACTATCACAAACTCATTGCCTTTGTAGAGTATGTGCATGTGTGTGTTGTGTGGTGTGATAAAGGGATGTAGATAGTAAATAAAAACAAGTAAACCTGTACTATGTGTCATTAATTAGAATGTTGTCAATAAGAAATAATATGCCAAGAAAAAAAATAACAAAACAGACCTAATAACCACTTGTTTTCCTCTCTATCCTAACAATCTAGCAGTAGATTTTGTTAAGATCTGGGTAACTACTTTTATAGATATGAACATGGTATAAATATATATGAAACAAATTTAAATTATTACAAAAAATGATTAAATAAATATACCTGAAACACCAAGCAAGCAGTTTTAGAAATACGTGTTTCCCTTCAAATCAAGTCTATGTACCAGCTCTATGATTGAGGGCCTTGTTGTTGTTGTTGTTTGCCGTCGAGTCGTCTCCAACTCATAGCGACCCCTCCTTCGGTTTCTGAGGCAGTATCACTACGGAAGTAGGATTGCCCAACCTTCCTTCCGAGGAGTGGCTGGTGGGTAAGAACCGCCAGCCTCTGGTTAGCAGTCAAATGCCTTAGGCACTCCTTACAGTTTCCAAAATTTCAGTAAGTAGGTAGTAATACGGTGAAAAACAATAGAATGTTTGTATCTAATTGTCATAGTAAATCCTTATTTTGAAGAATCTTATGTCTGAAGTTTAAGTAGTTAATTTAATGAAAATATTGATAGTCCCTGACTTCCAACAGGATTCTGTTTTGATGACTCCATTGTAAGTGAGTTCTGGCATAAGTGGAATAACTTTTTTTTTTAATATTTTCATTATTATTGCCTTTTATTATCAGTATCTTTATAAATAAAATATTTATTTGTCTTTAAGGTTTGGAAACATTACATTTAAACTTACAGATCTATTTTAACATTGTCTGTAACACATATTACTAAGAATAAGATGTTAAAAAAAAAAATTCCAGGCAGTCTTAAGTGCAATTTGTTGTAACTAAAACATATTGTAAGTGAAGGACTACTTGTATTTACTGCATATTTACTGCGGGACAATTATTGTGTTAGGTCTTGGGGAAAAGGTGGTGACAGATGTGTCCTTGACGTCAGAGATGTTAGAATCTGAGTTGTGCATTGTTTGAAGGAAAAATAAAATTTTAGCCTTTCTTTGATTAGAGCTTCACATGAGAATAATTAGTATCATGTGAGCAATCACCTTCAATGTTCAGTTTGTATTTTACAATAATAGTCATTGTATTAATTCTTCCTTTCATTTTTTCAGCAATCTTGAGTCAAAAGTTTCTCTGCATAAATTATATAATTTATATGAAACTTTATACTATGCTATAATCTTTCAACTGAAATGGTATAATAATAATAAGAAGAAGAAGATGCTGACAACTTTGTCTATGTGATTTGTAATTGAAGTTCACTGACTACTATTACCCAATATGGCATTGGAAGATTTCCATTTAAGAAAAATGATTCCCAGAGGCCTTATTTGAGAACAAGTAATTGGGGTGATCAGCCTTGCTCTGTTTTAAGGGGACTTTAACTGTAGTTGAGAGAGAAAAATCACTGAGATGATTCCTGGGAGCATTTAAGAGGAATAAACAAGAGTAAGTTCTAAAGAAGATCTTGATGTCTCTCCATCCAGCCTCTCTCCCATTTTTTTTTTTCCTTTCCTCCCTTCCATCATCCCCCCTCCTTTTTCACACTCTCCTGTGACCAGTGCCTCCTCTGTCTATGGGCCTATAAACCTCAAGGTCTGCCTTAAGGACTTGTTCATTGTAACTTGAATCCATAGTGTGATTTCTTTTGTCTCATCAACTATGTTTCTTAGCTCATTAATAATGTTCAGATAATAAGAGGTTCTGGTTTTATATTCTTGTCTCAAATCCTATTTGTAAAAAAAAAAAAAAAATAGAGAGAGAAACATTTTGGTTTGTCTAGGAAGCACTGTATCAAATAGACATATGCTTAATAATCATATTTATGAAATGTGCAATACATTGTATATCACCACATCATACTGTGCCACTTTATGAAAATCCACAGGAGAAAACATTTTTCTAATCTTAATTCTAGGAAAAATTGTTCTCCTACTGTTGTTGTTGTTGTTAATGTGCCTTCGAGTCAGACCCGACTCATAGCGACCCCTCCTTGGTTTTCCAAGGTGATATCACTACAGAAGTAGATTGCTCAATTTTCCTTCTGAGGAGTGGCTGGTGGGTTTAGTACTAGTGATCTATTTTCTCTTGTGGACACTGTAAACTTTATAAGTGATGTGGTATTCTTTTTGCTATGACCAAGGTAAAATTTGGAGACATGTGTTGTTGTTGTTGTTGTTATGTGCCGTCGAGCCCACCATTAAATAAAGTAACTATTTGACTAACTACCACCATTTCATTTTACTATTCTATTCTTATCATTTTCCTATTCTGTGACTCATTCATTTTTACACAACTTTATTTATACTCCCCAAAATTCCCAGTCTCCAGCCTTGGGATTCAACCTTTACTTCAATATTCACATACCATACAGGTGAGAATCCAGTGTACTTACAGTATGAATTCATGATACAGTATTGTAATGGGTATTAACGAGCCTGGGTGGTGCAGTGGGTTACAGTTAGCTGCTAAACGTAAGGTATTCCATTGGAACTCACGAACTCACCCAGCAGCTCTGGGGAAGATGGGCCTGGAGATCTGCTTCTGGGAAAATTACAGTAAAGAAAACCCTATGGAGTAGTTGTACTCTGCAACATGTGGGGCTGCCATGAGTCAGGGACCAAATCACAGCAACTAGTATCAATGGGGGAGCTCTGGTAGCGTAGTGCCTAAGGCACTTGACTGCTCACCAGAAGGCTGGCGGTTCAAACCCACCAGCCACTCCTTGGAAGGAAGGTTGGGCAATCTACTTCCATAGTGATCCTGCCTCGTAAACCCAAGGAGGAGTCGCTATGAGTCGGGGCCTACTCGATGGCACACAACAACAACAGTATCAATGGGTATTGATTGGTATCTGTGCAGTGCAAATGGTTTGTTCACTTGGTTGTTAACCCAAAAGTTGCAGATTCTAAAGCTGCCCTGGAAAGGGCTGGCAATCTACTTCCAAAAAAATCAGCCACTGAAAACCCAATGGAGCACAGTTCTACTCTGAAACACATGGGATCACCATGAGTCAGAGTCAACTTGCAGGCAATTAGCTTAATAGGTTTGATGTCCAAAAACACAGAGATCCAATCTTACTTTGATTATTTGATTCCTTTCTTGCCTATTCATGTCTCTGTTAATCACTGTCCTCTTTCTGCACCATATTATCTAATCTTTGAGCTCTGAGGCTTTCCCTATGACTCTCCAATGAATTTTGACAGGTTACGGAGGAGAATTAGTACACCAAACAGAAAACCTCTTAAACTTGAGTGTCACAGACCGCTATTACAAAGTTCCTGCACCATTTCCTCCCAATGATTATGGTTTAATAACTTTCATTCTCATTAGACCCTGGTTCCAGGTTGGGAGGTGGGAAGGTTGCTTCCTCCCAACACTCTGGTAAGCGCTTCCCATACTTGTGCCTCCTCTTTGGGAACCAAAGGAAAACTGAAGATCTCTTAGTATGGCATTCAGAGAAATTTTAATGCATTCTCTCCCTTAAATTCTCCTATCCAGACAAGACCTTATTAAGAAAATAGGGGAAAGAAAGAAGAATTCAGGAAACCTCAGCCATTCAAATTAAGTGTTTGACTCAATTTCCTGATTCTGATAGTTGTCTGGGTTGATATGTAAATTATGGCTGAGAAACCAATGGAATATTGTGATTTATTTTCTTTTCAATATAAATTCTCCTCTAAGCTTCAGTTTAGATTGGCAACTAAATGGAGGTGAAAAAAAATGATCTTTCTCTGTTTGCTTTTTTATAACTCTTTCTTTTAATTGCAGGTTCTTTCACATTTGTTCCATGGCTTCTCAGCTTTAAAAGAGGAAGAGCCCTAGAAGAAAAAGAAAATAAAATACTGGTGAAAGAAACTGGTTACTTCTTTATATATGGTCAGGTATGTTTAAACCTGAATTCTGCTTTCACTGTAGAATGCCTCCTATTTTGTACTCACTTGTGATAAAGTTTTTTTTTTTTTTTTTTTTCTTGCTTAATTTTTCAGGTTTTATACACGGATAATACCTTTGCAATGGGACACTTAATACAGAGAAAAAAAGTCCATGTCTTTGGGGATGAATTGAGTCTGGTCACTTTGTTCAGATGCATTCAAAATATGCCTGAAACACTGCCCAATAATTCCTGTTATTCAGCTGGTAAATAATATGTTTCAGACCTGCCTGTTGTGAAATGAAGATATATTGTGCTGATAATCTGAGCTTCATAATACAAGAGGAAAGGATGGTGCAATGAAATGCAAATAGATAAAAAGATGTTCTTCAAAACTGTGTTTTTTATTATCTTGAATGATAAACTAGCCCCTTTTCATGGAGACAGAATAAGTCATTACTGATAGTTTTATTATTTTCATGTAAATTTAGAAAAGGCAGTAACTTCATAGCATTGAACATTGAGAAAAATTCAGCTTGTGTTTTCCTCAACATATAATAACAACAGAAGTAGCAATAACTATAATATAATCAGAGTGCCAGGGACTACTCTATTTACTTTACATTAAAAAAAAAAAAAAAAAAAAAAACCTCACTGCCTTCGAGTAGGATCTGACTCACAGTGACCCCTCCTTGGGTTTCCAAGGCAGTATCACTACAGAAGTAGATTGCCCAATCTTCCTTCTGAGGAGTGGCTGGTGGGTTTGAAGCGCTAGCCTTCTGGTTAGTAGTTAAATGCCTTAGGCACTATGCTATCAGAGAGCCTCTTATGCTTCCCCATTTAATACTCTTCATGTAACAGGTACAGAGTCTGATACATAGGGAGGTAAGGTAACTTTCCCTAAGGATGCAAAGTTACTAAGTTTTAGGACTTGGTTCAAACCAGTCAATTTGGCTCCATAGCATCAGCCACATAACTCCTTTACATACTGTTGAAGAAATGCCCTTGGCTCAGTTTGAGGGCTAAGACGAATGGCAGCATTGTTTCTCCAACTACTCATATATGAAATTTTCATACAGGTGACAAATAGACACCAGGGGGGTAAATTCAGGATTTGAAAGTGTAGGAGCAACGTGTGTTAGAACTCTGCAGCAGTGAAGCAATGGAGAGGCAAAGGGAATGAGTAGGTGTTATTCATTTCAGGCCTCTTCTAGTAATAATTGACAACTTAGTTCCTGGGTTGTACAAGTGATTAAGCCCTTGGCAACTATCCAAAAATCTGCTGGTTTGAGTCCACCCAGAGGTTCTTTGGAAGAAAGACCTGATGATTACTTTTGAAAATATCAGGCATTGAAAATCCTATGAAGCACCATTCTACTCTGACACACATGGGGTTGCCATGAGTCAGAGTCAACTTGATGGTAACTGGCTATTTAGTTATTATTTTGGAAATTTTTAATAAATATATTTATTTATTTATTTTTACTATTCACTTTATTTTTTGTGGGTAATATTTCAAATTAATTAATCAATTTTTTTCAGAAAATAAAATTCACCTTAAACACATTTATTTTTTTCTTTGATGATTTTTACCAAATCTGACCAGAACCCTGGGAATGTCTTCAGATCCAGATAGTTACCATGAACAACAGTGGGAAACACAGGGTTGGTGATTTGCTGTCCATTTCAAGTTTTTTTTAAACAAACAAATGCACAATAAATTGCTTAGAAAGGAAGGAAAATATTTCATAATAATTATGATGATGATATTTGTGTATCTGCAGCCAAAACCATAGTTCTAAGTGGGTGATGAGGAAGTATATGAAAGTGGAATTCCCTAATATACATAGAGAAATGTTTCTCTGCACTGCATGGTGACCAGTATCTTGGCACTTCATAATATTTATAAATAGTGAGGCTGGTCCAATATATTACTCATTTGTGTTCACTACTTCTTAGAGTTTTAAAACTAACTTTTTTAAAATTTCCAATTGTCTGCTCCTCTCACGTATTACTTTCCATTAGAAAGCTCTGCAAGTTTTCCTCGGTGCCTTGCAATTTAAGAATAATTGACTTGGCTCTTAAGATATTTTTTTCAATGCTAATAAACCAGTAGTATTTATGAGAAACATTCTCTAGGAAATTTCTAGTTTTAATTTTAATCTTTTCTATGGTGAAATTGTTTGAAACCATTAAAATTGCACATTAGTACATAAAGCACTTCCCTAATAACCTGAACAAAATAATAACGGCCACTTTAAGAACTTCAATATATTACCAAGAAACCATTATTTCATTAATAAATTGAATATAATTTTTGTAGGAAAAATAACTGATTGCTGTAGTCTGGATGAATTCAAATAAATCAGAGTTAATATTATTTAAAGCTCTGTGATCTATAGCCATGGTCAATGCATGAGACTATTTTCAGTGTATATGGTAATTAGCAATCTATTCAACAGATTTCAATCTTTTCTCACCGTTTAAGGTGATCATCAAATGATTTCCCAATTCTCCAAGGCATACATACTACTAGTAATAATACCTAAAAATGTGGTCTTTTGTTTCTTATCTTTCTTCAACCATTAAAAACTAAAACAAGACCCAGGGCAGAAACTTTTGTCATTCTAGATCATTAATCTGTCAATATCTAGAAAGATGTTTGGCACATAGTATTCAAAAAACACTGACTAGCCATGGACCAAGTAAATCTGAGTGTGTTGGTATTGAGTATGGAATAGTTTTTAACATGTTGTTGTTATTGTTATGTGCTGTCGAGTCAGACCCAAGTCATAGCGACCCCTCCTTGGGTTTCTGAGGCAGTAAGTATCACTACAGAAGTAGATTGCCCCATCTTCCTAACATAGATATATGTATTCTTTAAATAAATTTATACAATTTGTTAATGAGACAATGCAACTGCTTAAAAAAATGTTTGTCAAAAGTACTGGTAATTCTGATACTAGTTTATTTGTTAATTTCTTTATTTCTTCTCCTCTCACTTCTCTTTCTCCTTCTACATATTTTTTTTTTTTTCAAATGGGGTCAGGAATGACCTGATATATTGACTATAGTTCCTGAATTATATTTCATATTCCTGATTCACTGACATCACTGTATTCAGGCGCATGCAGATTTATTGTACATTTTTTTGGACTTAGTTACTTTTAACATATCATAATAAAGACAAATTTAGTCATTTAAGGAAATATAAATATAGAAGGGTATAAAAAAAGTAATCCAAATGGCTCCTATTTTCAGTCTGGACTCTGGAGGAAGAACTATGTTAAAAAATGTACTATGTTAACAAATAGTGTTTTGGTTTTCACTTTTTTTATATATCAGAATATATGTACATTCAATATTATAATTGGAACTATGCAATACAAATATGTGTGTATCTGCAATTTTATTTGGCATCATTATTAAAAATTCTCCTTGTAAATAAATAAACTAAAACGTCTTTTAAATCTATACTATAATATTCCCAACAAGGGATGTCTATGATTTACTTATCCTATTTGAAAGTTGGGCATTTGGGTTCTTTCCAGATTCTTCATTTTATAAATGGTAGATTATAAATATATTAACATATTATAACCCCTTATACTTATTTCTTGTTATTTTTAGTCTGGAAGAACAGTGACTAGTTTAGAAGCTCATTGATGTATTTTGAAGTGTGAATGCCTATGTTAAATATTTTCCCAAAACAAAATAGTTTATTTTTCTTTCTTTTCCATTTTGCAACCTCTTAAAGTTCATGTGAATAATTCTTTTCCAGGCATTGCAAAGCTGGAGGAAGGAGATGAACTTCAACTTGCAATACCACGAGAAAATGCTCAGATATCACAAGATGGAGATGGCACATTTTTTGGTGCATTGAAACTGCTGTGACCTACTTATACCATTTCCGTGGTTATTTTTCTCCCTTCTTCTGCATCTCTACAGAGAAAATATTTAAACTGGAAATGCCGAAGGAAAAGAAAAAAAGTAGTTGCCACAGCCTTTTCTCTGAGCTATTTGTTTTGGTTTTCTGAAACTAGACCAAAACAGGAAACTTAACAGACAACCACAGCCAAAGAGTGTCATGTGAATTATGAGAAATAGAACACATTTAAGGAAAGATAGAATTAGAAATACTTTTTTACCATAATGACATATTGACCAATTTAATCATAGCTTCTTGTCTTGGAAGCAGCATGCAATTGAAAGGACTAATAAGGATTTCTTCAAAAGTAATATTCCATAATTTACTATGCAATAAGTGTCCAAGGCTATAGGATATTAAGACTTTTTTTTTGTGAAATCTTAGTGTTTTATCCTATTTTCACATTAATTATCTTCTTGCTTTTTTCACTTAATATTGTGGAAAGTTAAAGAAAAAAAATCCAGAATCTCTCACTAGACACAGAAGTAACTTAAAGTTTAAGCTTAAAATAACTGAAACAAAATAGGATACAAGTACTATTTAAGTCTTTTTGGTTTACTTCAAATTTGTCATTTTTATACCTGATATTATACGTTCCTGATGGAATTTTCCTCCCATGTGTACACATACACTAATGTGCATTTTTTATAATTAATTTCAATTACTTCAGAAATATTTTTCTGTATGACAATGACAATTCATGCACATATAGAACAGTAATTGAAGAAACTGCTGTAATTGTTTATATATAAAAAATAAAACCTCCAATAAAAGTTAAGAGATACATTTATAATACAATGTTATTTCCCTTTATTTTCTGCTATTTTGTTTCAAGCTGCTGCTGTTGTCATTCACATATTTGAGTTTAAAAAAATACTTATGTTAGTAGCTTTACAGAATTTGAAGCTTAATTAAGGTCCTGAAACCCTGAAGTATATGCTGATTATAAAGATTATGGTTTACCAGAAGATAGCATCTTCATTTTATAAAGAGTCATACTTGAGAATGCTGTAATACTTATCTTTTACATCAGTTTCCTCTTGTTTTGCTTGCCTTATTTTTTCTTAATGAATTTATATAATAAGTGAAAGAATAGTTCTCTAGTATATATTAAAATTTTTAAAGATACCCTTTTCAAACTAAACTAAGAAATGATTCAGATTTTATATCTAAAATAAAGTTTACTTAAAATTTTGATTTCTATTCACCTTATATTTTTAAAAGAAAAATATTTTTGCAATTTATTTTGTCTTACAATATTACAATAAAAAAAGAATAAGTGATAGGTCTGGAGTAGAAGTTCAGATACTTGGAGGTGTGGTTAATAATTTTCCTAGGGTTGCTGCTAACTTGGATTGCCCAATAAAAAATTCAGCGCCTTTGCATCATTGTCTGAGTGAATTTGCTTAACATTGCCCATCTTTCGATGCCTCATTAATGAGTAACTAAATGTCATTTTTAAAATCTAATGTATATTTGTGAAATATTACAAAGTAACATGTGTTAGAGTATGAGAATAAAATATCGGAAACTGCACATTTTACATGCTTAAAAAATTTTAATTTAACTATCTATCTATTGATAGCTATAAATTAAATGTTATTTCTTAGAACAAAAGATAAAAAAATACTACATTATGGCTATTCTTTTAAATGACTTGGCATATTATGTCAGAAGATGTATAACACAGTCACATAATTACTCTTAAATCTTATTTTACTTTCAGTTTAAGACAGAATTGACATACGTATCCTCTTGTCCTTTTGTGTGAAATTTTGAAGTTAAAGTATAAGTTTATTTAAATATCAGCAAATACAATTAAGATTAGGTATAAATAGTGGTTGGTCATATATGGGAGTCTCCATCACAGCAGTGGTTGCCAGAGTTCTCTCTCCTTTATTCAATTTATTTTTGGGACAAAACTGTTATATTGAGATTTCCTTTAATAGGACATTTTCTAAGGGTAAAGTGTATGGTCTCAGCACAGATAATCTTTGGTCCTAAATTCCAGATTGAGAGTTGTGATTATAGATAACTACTTTTTGCTACTAAATTTTTCCCTTGCGGGAGAATTGAATGAGATAGCAGAGCATCAAAAGTGGACTAATTTGCAGGCCTGCATGTCTCCTGGACAAATAAGCTTGGCCTTAAAAGTCACTGTGAAAACAGAGATCTTCCCAGTGTCATTTGTAATGGATGCAACAATTTATTGTTGGAAGAATTTAATAATTTCTTATGTAATCTGAATTACAATCATGAAATATTACTCTAAAGACTTCCTGCCCTAAGAGAGAGGTTACAAATATGTGCACAGTTGAGCAATGTAGGTGTGGATATATATTTTTGCAGGCTCACATGTCACTTTAAAATTTTTGAATTGGTTTCTAACAAAAAAAGTCTAGACTAATTACGTAGAATAAAACATTTTAACTTCTTTCAAAAAACATTTCATTTTAAAACACTGAAGGAAAATATGTAATATGCATGTGATAAAACCAAAGTCTTAAGGTTACATCTTAAAATATTTTTACAAAGTGAATATAGTCATGTAACTACCACCTACGTCTAAATACAGAACACTGACATCAAAAAGCCTCTCACAAAAAAGAAAATTAAATAAAAAAGCCTCTCATGCTTCTCCCCATCTTTAACCCTCTGTCTCCTCAAAAAATTACCATTTGACATTTCATCTAGGAATCACTTTGCCTTTCATTGAACTTTATAAAAAAGATATTTTATAGAATTCATTCTTTATACATCCTGTCTGCCCTCATTTGCTTTCTATTTTGTCTGTGAAATTCTCCCATGTTATTGAAAAGTACAGTAGTTCATCCTTCTTCACTGTTGAGTAAAATTTAATTCTTTTGATACATCACAAGGTTTTCACCTATTCTGTTGAAGGACCTTGGGAACATTTCATTATAGGGCTATTATAAATAGTTTGAATGAATAGTATTTAAAAATATTCTGAGAAAGCTATGTCTGTATCTCTATTGGATATATACCTAGAAGGGGAAGTCTTGGGTCATAGAATATGTGTACGTTCTGCTTTAGCAGATGCTGCCAAAAAGTTTTTCAAACAGTAAGCAATTAACAGAAAATATAACAGAACTGGATCCTTGAAAGCAATGACTGACTGGACTCATTATCAGCTACCCACTCCAGTCAGGTAAGCGCTCATATCTTTGCCGCAAGCCCCGCCCTGACTCTTTATTCATCTACGTTACATGTCTGGTTCCTCTGCTTGAGTTTCATGGGATTAAAAAAATATAATCTATTATGAATATCTGTACAAGTATTAACTTTTTGTAAATTAATCATGGATTAAAAAAAAAAGTCCAAGTCCTCAAGCCTTGTTTACAACACAGCAGCTTCTCCGTTTGGGCTCTTCTCCTGTAGGCAAAGTATAGGAGCGAGGCTGTTACGGAGTAGTCAGCAACTATAAATAATGAGGAAGTCTCTGCTAATCCATTTCCAGAAAATTGAGAATTAAATGTAATTTTTATTTAAGCTCAGTTGTAGGCTATCTTTGATTTCTTTACCTTCAAAACTCCTATTGACCAAGTCGACAGTGTTCCATTATTTAGAAAATGATAAAATAAAATGATAAGATTATTTTTAATATAAAATAATAAAAGTATATTAACACAATAGTATTATATATGTGTCATTTATTTAAATATATTTTACAATCTTATGTGAGTATAGCCTTTATAAATATTTAAGATGATATACTTAGAATATTCAGTACTTCTCTGAAATGTCTTTATGTTATACACTTGAAAAAATTTTTGGTATATAGTTTGTTTTATCTTGTTTTCTACGTCCTGAAACAATCACACACTGTGTTTAAAACTAATCGCAAAGATGGGAACTAAGTTACTGAAATAGAACGGGTAGCTCTTTGTGATGAAAATCGTTTGATATATATGTATTTTATTACTATTATTATTATTATTTTATTGTGCTTGGGTGCAAGTTTACAAAGGAAATTTGATTAATATTCAACTGTTCATTTGATTTCATGGCCCCATTACCATCCTCAACCACAAAAATCCCCCCCGTGACTGACCCCTCCCTGGGTCCTTCTTGACTATGCAGTCTGTCCAGCTTTCCCTCTGTGTGAATGCTGCCTCTCTGGTGTCTCATGGCTGATTGCTCTAATGGGTGCATCTTCCTAGAGTAGGTGAGTACATCTCCCTGGGGTAGGTGTTCTACATATAGGTCTTTCCACTGTTTGGCTGAGAGCCAATCCATGGAAGTGAGTCCATTTCTAGGCCTGAAGGGTAACATGGGGCCATAGTTTTGAGGGTTCCACCAGTCTCTAACTGCCCAGTAATTCTGGTCATTTTTTTATTTTTGAAATTGTTCCATATTTTTCCTTCTACTCTATCCAGGATCTCCAGTTTTGATAATTTTCCAAATGGTTGGTATTGGTAGCCAGGCACCATCTAGTTCTTCTGGACTAGGGGTCATGAAGGCTGAGGTCCTCATGGTCCATCTTATCCTTGGACTAATTGTTTCCAGATTCCTTTTATTTCTTCACTCTTCTTTGTTCCAGGTGAGAGATATGGTTTTATGGTATCTAACAGTCAATTTGGGAGCTCTGGTAGTGTAGTGCCTAAGGCGCTTGACTGCTAACCAGAAGGCTGGTGGTTCAAACCCACCAGCCACTCCTC